AGCAGAAGAAGCAGAAGCAGAAGCAGAAGCAGAAGCAGAAGCAGAAGCAGAAGCAGAAGCAGCAGAAGCAGCAGCGGCAGCAGCAGAAGCAGAAGCAGCAGTAGCAGCAGCAGCAGAAGGAGAAGGAGCAGCAGACGGAGAAGGAGCAGCAGCAGAAGCAGAAGGAGCAGCAGAAGAAGCAGAAGCAGAAGCAGAAGCAGAAGCAGAAGAAGCAGAAGCAGAAGCAGAAGCAGAAGGAGCAGAAGAAGCAGACGCAGAAGAAGCAGAAGAAGCAGAAGCAGAAGCAGAAGAAGCAGAAGCAGAAGCAGAAGAAGCAGAAGCAGAAGAAGCAAAAGCAGAAGAAGCAGAAGCAGAAGAAGACGAAGACGAAGACGAAAACAACGAAGAAGCAGAAGAAGAAGAAGCAGAAGAAGAAGAAGAAGAAGAAGAAGAAGAAGAAGAAGAAGGCAAAAGAAGACGCAGAAGCAGAAGCAGCAGAAGCAGAAGAAGCAGAAGAAGCAGAAGCAGAAGAAGCAGACGCAGAAGAAGCAGACGCAGAAGAAGCAGAAGCAGAAGAAGCAAAAGCAGAAGAAGCAAAAGCAGAAGCAGAAGCAGAAGAAGACGAAGACGACAACGACGAAGACGCAGAAGCAGAAGCAGAAGAAGAAGCAGAAGAAGAAGCAGAAGAAGAAGAAGAAGAAGAAGCAGAAGCAGAAGAAGAAGAAGAAGAAGAACAAGAACAAGAAGGAAAACAAGATGAGAATAAAAAAACGAAAGTCGACGGGAAGAAGAAGAAGAAGAAGAAGAATTAATAATATAATAATAATAATAATAATAATAATAAGAAGAAGAAGAAGAAGAAGAAGACGAAGAAGAAGAAAAATAAAAACACAAACTTAGTAACTTACCTCAAAGTTCGACCCTTTGTGAAGATGGCGCGCGGCAGCACTCGAGGAAGTCGGCGGGAAGGCGGATGACGACGATGGCGTGGCAGCTGGAGGACGACGAGGATGTGGCAGCAGGGGGACGACGATGGCCGGGCAGCAGGACGACAACGATGGCGGCAGCATGATGGCGACGACGGCACGGCGGGTGGGCGTCATCCTCACGGGAAGGCGGCGGCGTCACTGGCGCCTGGCGGAGGGCAGGAGGGTGGAGGGCGGATGGCGGAGGGGCACGGTGCAGGGGGCAGATCGGCCCAGGATTCGAATTTGAATCCTGGGAGCCACGATCGCCATCGATCGCCGACGATCGACGGCCAGGAGTGGGAAAAAAAAACTTCAAAAAAGGGGCCTACCGGGTCCCGAAAAATAGCGTGCCGGGCGCCAAAAATTTTTTTGGCCTGTGGGCCAACGGGCGGCAGCACGAAAACAAAAAATTGCCGCCGATTTGGGTACGGCGCTGAGGGGGCCCGGATGCCTGGCTGGTGGGGTTGTACAACCGAGCGGCCCGAGCGCTCGGGGGGGAAAGCTAGGTTTCTAGCGTTTTTTTTCAGTTTTTTAATTTCTTGTTTCGAATTGATTAATGTCGAAATGGTGTCACACCGTTGCGTTTTCTAAACTTCACTTGGGCGGTGGGACTTCACCCCAGTGAACACAATGCACCCCTCGTCTTCCACTTCGATGCCTGTTTCTTCTTCTTCTTCTTCTTCTTCTTCTTCTTCTTTCTCCTTCTTTTTTGTTCCTCCCCCTCTCCACTTCTCATGCAGGCATTGACTGACTGCCACAGTGCCACCTCAACTGCATCGCCAACCTGCTACGCCATCCCTGCAAACACATCACAACACCTTATCTTCATCAGTGTATACGACTCGTATTATGAACCAATACAGTCACAATGCTCAGCCGTCGTGATTGTGGAAAGAAGTTATAGCTGCTTTTTTAGGTTGGCAAAGGACGAAGGCCCAGCTTCGTGGACTCTACTGGATGCAGACTGCCTCATAACTGTGTATGGAGGCAGTCTTCTTCTCCTAGAGTGTCTTTCAAGCAGAAGGAAGAAGGGACGAGGTCACTCACCTCTACCCTCCAAGCATGCAGATATAAAGCGTCCACACATAACTAACGCAATTTTTTTTATTTTTTATTTTTTTAATACAAACGCATTTTTTTTGTACCGCATAAGAATTGAAGAAGCTTCGATGGCAAAAAAAAAAAAAAAGAAGGAAGAAGAAGAAGAAGAAGAAGAAGAAGAAGACTCCAGGACATGTATGCAAATTTCTGGAAGTAGAAGACAAAAAAAATTGGAAAACCAAAAGTAAGGAGCACACAAAAACAAGTCCGAATGCCCATGAAAAGACAAGTCAGCAGACTCAGCAGTTGACCTTCTAGGCTTCTACCGAATAAATTCAATAAATAAACAGCCGAGTACCCGTGTATGAAAACAAGTTCGACAACCTAGGCCTTTTTTTATCGAAGGATATCTCCGAAATATAAACCGATGAAAGGAATTTGACAAGACGAATCGAAATATAAAATCCTGTCGAATATTCGGATGAAAGATAAAAGCAGCGAGAAAACCCTAGGCCGAACAAGAATTTCTAAATTACGAATATAAGACCATACGGAGAAACATGGGAAATAACCACCAAAAAAGTCGAAAAAGAAATTGAAGGACAATGCTTGCCAAGGAACCATACCGACCAAGTAAAAAACTTTAAAAAAGTGCAATCGTTTTCTGATCTCGTGATATTCCATCGGAAGATTTGAATCGACACAGCACTCAAAAGTTCGCAAATACATTGACACTGCATGCAAGGGCAGGAAGGCAGTAATTCCAAATTCCGGGTACAAATTTCACGGACGAGGACAGGTGGTGGGAATGAAGGAAACCAGAGACGTCACCTGAATACTTCAAGGCACAGAGTTTTTTTCGGTGAAGGAATTTCGCAACATATCGCGACCAGGAGAACATCGGGACGGCAGAAGACATCAACGGCGACAAGTATACGATGATGAGAGGAGACTGCAGGGACTAGGGTTCAGCCGCACAGAGAAGTATTTGGACCAAAGGTGTTTTTATACTGTGACTGGAAAGGGTAGAAGGGTAATCGCGACTGTTTTGGACAGGACGTGTATTCTGTGAAAGTAAAGCCTCGCACGTGTTGTCCAATATTGCAACTCTCTCTCTCTCTCTCTCTCTCTCTCTCTCTCTCTCTCTCTCTCTCTCTCTCTCTCTCTCTCTCTCTCTCTCTCTCCATACTTTATGATCCCATGACTCAACTCTTTTATGAGAACTATCAGAAAGGGCTTGGAAGCTAATACAGGTAAGGCAGACGAAAGCAAGCAGGCGGAAAGACGCTGTGAAACACACTTTCTCTACCGAATGTGGAGCAAGACGTCCATTCAAGGAATATACCCTAATCCACATATGCACAGAACCTGACAGTTCAGACTCTTCAGAGGGGCCAATTAGCCCACTTGATAAATAAACAATGGAGGGGAAAATTACTCGGAAAAGCAAACGGATAAGGGGGTTGTCCAGTCACACAAATGATTGCTTTCTGGTGTACATACATTCAATAATAATTTTCCCTACTTGAGAAAGGAAGCTCTCGCGAATGTATGTACACCGGAAAGCAAGAAAAATTCAAAAAAATTGAAAAAAAAGAAAGCAAAAACGAAAGAAGGAAAGAAACAAAGTATTTACCTGACAAATTCAGGTACAACCGTACAAGATAAAATGACGACGACGACGACGACAAAGAAGAAGAAGAAGAAGAAGAAGTATAAAGAAGTAAAAAGAAGAAGTAAAAAGAAGAAGAACTTGAAGAAGTAAAAAAGAAGACGTAAAAAGAAGAAGAAGAAGAAGAAGAAGAAGAAGAAGAAGGAGAAGAAGAAGAAGAAGTAAGAAGAAGAAGAAGAAGAAGAAGAAGTTCCACATTTTTTGACAGAAAAAAGAGCGCAAAAAATGGGAAAAAGAAAGGAAAAACAAACACATTGATGACAGACGAAGGAGGAGGAGAATAAGAACTGAAGTAATCACCTTTCTCGTGCATTGCAATGAATTGAATTCGAAGAGTCGAAGTTCACAACACTATTATTATTCCCTAGCTCTCCATGTAATTAATACTCTTCAGTGACAAAGCAAGCAAGAAAATCAACTCTAAAAGTACAATCTGCAAAACATGAATTTTGAAAATCCTCTCGCTGCTCGCATGGCGCGGCACCGTTGAACTCAGAGCGCTGTCCCGATCAGCTTTGAGTTGAGATTCATAAAACTCGTCCAATGGTCGTAGCGGTCGGTGGCACGTGGCTTCCAGCACATATATATATATATATATATCGTCAAATAGAACTGCCCGGTAATATATATATATCGTCACAAATAGAACTGCCCGGTAAATATATATATATATATATCGTCACAAATAGAACTGCCCGGTAAACCGTAGGCAGAGAGAGAGAAGAGGACAACAAACGAGGGGCTATATATATATCTCAGTGAAACTCCGACGAAACAGTTTGTCACAGACGTCCTCTTCTCCCTCTCTGCCTGCGATTTAACAGCCAGCTCTGTTTGATGATATATATCCAAAACCTGCGGCAGCTGTTCTTCTCCACATCACTCACCTCCTGGACCGGTACTGCAAACACCCCCACCAATGAATTCGCAACACGCCTTTTTTGTCGTCATGCCCACTCCTCGATCTCTCCCTCTGTGTCCCTCTCCCCTCATTCACCGGCCGGGCCCTCTGTCGATGTCACCAGTGCAGCTCCATCCTCATCACATTCAGTGCCCTTGTTCGCACTATCTTCCCGCATTTGATCTCCCCACCCCAGCCATAGCATGTCAGGGAATCCTTCTCCCATGCCTCTTTCTTCTCTCACCTACCCCTCTTTCCCTTCTCCACTTCCCATGCCTCCTTCAACAACTCCTCCCCTCATTCATCAGCTCTTTCTCGCCAACACCCCAGGCACATCCAGTCATATACAAGGAGCCTTCGGTACTTCTCCTTTGCGTGGACAGCATCCTCCTCCTTTGCAGAAACAGCAGCATCTGCCAGTTCTGCTACCCATGAGTACTTTCCAAAATACGTCAGGAGCAGAGGCCGAGAACCTCATCGTCAGCGTCATCATCATCACCATGATTCCTAAGTATGTTGCAATATAGTTATGGGATTATCTCCTGCTACACTTGCGCATCGGTCTGATCAGTTTTCAGCTGTCTGCATCTGCAAGCTCGGGACCTCGTCCCTTCCAATTCGCTTTTCTTTTTTCTTTTTTTTCTTTTTTTTCTCTTTTTTTTTTCTTTTCTTCTTTTTTTTTTCTTTTTTCAAAAAACACAGGCCCCCCTTCTATTCTGGAGGGAAAAAGTCCGGGGTTACTTATCCCCGGCAAGCATATTTCATCTTGCCTTACATCTTCTTCTTTTTTTTTTTTTTTTCCGATTAGGGTTCTGAGTCTTCTGACCCTGTGGGGGGTGAGCACCAGGTGATGGTCCCCACCAAAGCACAGGACCCTATCCTGGAGGCCTGCCTCGCATCTTTTATTGGCTGAAGCTGGCTCACTTTGTTAACCACATTCTTTGTTGAACTCATTGGCTGAACCTGGCTCACTTTGTTAACCACATTCCGCTGAAGCCGGCTTCCTATCCAAAGGCCACGTATCCATCATGCGTCGTCTTTGGCACAAAACTCTGCTTCTCGCCGTTCTCAGTGAATTTCTGCTTGTTTCCATGGTCCGACGAGCTCCGCTTTGCTCGCTATCTTTACTGGTTCTGGCTTCAAAATTTAATAAAAGTTTAAAAATTAAAATTTAAAATGTCTTCAAGCGACCACCTCTGAAAGAAGTTTGTGACATTGTGCATGCTGCAGTCCTATGAAATGAATGTGTCATGATTCAAGTTATCATTCAACCCATAACTCTTAAGGTTGCATAACCTGCTCTTTCAAATCAAGAGAGA